GGCGGCTGGAGGCCACGCGGGGCGTGGGGAGGGCCTGGCGTGGGGGCCGCGCGGGCAGCGGGAGCGCTCGCTGTGCCCGCGAGGTTGGGCATCTGTGAGAACGTGTGTGCGCGGTGGCGGGATTCAGAGCCGGGACACCTGGGCGAGGCCCAAAGTGAAACCGCGCGGCCTGCCGGGGTGGCCGAGAGGCCCACTCGCGAGGGCAGGAGCCGAGTTTGGGGCCCCAGCGGCCAGGCCCGGGTCGCGGGGACGAGGACTCGTGCGCACGGACAGACCCGGACGGAAACGCCGAGGCTCGGTGGAACCGGCTTTCGCTCGGAGGAATACCGAAGCGAGAAAACCCATCATTCCCCGAACTTGACCGCTGGCACAATCACAGAGGGAGGTTGTAACTATTATTAACGAATATTCGTGAAAAGAGACCTTGCGGGAACGCATCCTGGCTTTAACTGAATTACTAAACCAACAGCAAAAAAGTCTACGCAAATTGACTCGATTCGATGCTCATTTCTCAGTCGCAGGAGTGTAGATGATTTGATTCTGATCCTCAGGGCGGCCAGTGAGGGTCTGTCCCGGAGCCCGGCTGCTTCCCGAATTCCGCTGCGCAGCCCCAGCAGAGGTGGCCGGAGTGGGGACAGGGACAAGCCGGCCGGGAGGAGCCCTGAGAGGGGATGTTAGGGCACGTCCAGGAAGCTGGAGTTCGTGTCGGGTTCTTCCCCCGCCTTGTTTGGAGCTGGGCGTCCTTCAGCTCTGCTCCGCTCCTAACCTCTTGGCTCTTCCATGCGGTTTTGTTCACTTTACCCGGTGGAAATCTTTCAGAGCGCTTGGTGTGCTCAGCGTGCTGCAGGCCTTGTGCGAAGGGACAGTGTGTGGTCGCCCGAGGCTGGCCCTGCCCTCCCCAGCCCCACCCGGCCCAGGACGGAGCCTTTTTCCTTTTTCCGTTGGAGCTCTGGGCTCCTTCCAGGTCGGAACCGTGGCGTAAGGCTGACCCGCACCTTTCTGCTGGCTCATGCCACAGGCTTGAGGGACCGCAGAGGGTCCCTCCTGCGGTCCAGGCTCTCCCTCAAAGCAGCTGGTGGAGGGCTGGTTTCAAAGAGCCTCCGACCCACCGCCCAGGCTCCTGGCTCATTGTGCCCAGGACTCATTCATGGGCCAGTGTCTTAGTGAGCCCTTTGCTCCATAAAAAATATTAAAAATTATATTTTATACTGTGTTGGCATAAGGACAAATATATTACTATATACAGTAATGAAACCTTTTTTTGACCTAAAAATTTACATTTTTTTTTAGAAACGAAATCTTTTTTGTGTGTGGGCCCTTGAAAGTTTTTTGGTGGGCCAGAGGTGCTGTGCCTATTGATCAGTGCAGCTCTGGTGGCCAGGACAGAGCAGGGCTTCTGCTGCAGGCCCAGGCCAGAGGTGGGAGGAGAACTCAGGTTGGGGATCCTTGCAGGATGGAGCTGCCTGCTCCCAGGGAAAGGGCAGGAAGAGGGACTTAGATGACAGATGCCTCCTGTGAGCTGATCTCTGTTGGCACTTTGCACTTAGGCTTCCAGAGGTTAGGGTTCATTTTGCAGGGAAGACACTCATTCCTTCCTGCTTAACCACACAGCCCCTGGCACTGTTGCTTTTTAAAATATAGACTTTCTACCCCATCAGCAGCAGGATGATCTACTCCCACCCCTGGGATCTTGCCTGGTCCTTTCGTTTCTGACCCAGGAAAAGAAAGGGCTGGAAGTGACAGTCCCAACTTTTTTGACTACAAGCTTTCCAGTCTTTAACATTAAAACTTTACCAGTAGCACTAGTATGTTTAGTGTGTTATGAACGAGAGAGAGCATAAAGACATTACACATTCAGTAGCATTTAAAATGAACGTATATTTTATTAATACTACAACATCTATGTACACTTAGAAACTAGAGTCATGTGTTACATTCAGTCTGCAGACAGGGTGTAGGCTGTGTCTGGATCGTGGGCTTCTTGCAACAATTTTGTAGCCTCAGTCACAGGCTGGGAACTGCTGACCAACCCCATATCCCGAGTTCCTAACGCTTTTCAAGTTGCCCTCTTAAGTGACAGCTAACTCTATCAATTGATGACTCTGTCAGCTATAGTTACAAACTCTCATTTCAGTGGTAGAGCGCCTTTAATAATCGCCCTCCTCCAGCCCCCTTGAGGGTCCCACATGCAGAGCCCGGGCACCGAGGGAGTCTGGGCACATCGCTCTGTACTCAGCCCTGTGTGGAGTGCTCTGGGTGGATGTGGCCCCTTTCCTTACAGTGCTCCGGGCGAGACTAGTCCGTCTCAAACTTCAGGATATGTTAGCGTCATGGGGGAACTTGTCAAAGTGGTAGAATCCCAAGTTCACCCTAGAAGGTGACAATGTAAGGGGCTCAGAAGCGACATTCAGAAAACCTGCAGTCAGGGTGATGTGCTGCGTACTTTCAGAGATGAAAGAGAGACGCCAGAGCAATTTACCAAACAACACACAAGTGAGTAAGGACGAATAGAAAATACAAGTGACACCAGCATGTTAGCACCAGTAGGTACCAGTGTGGGATGCTTCTTACAGAAAGAGTTTTGAGTTGGGTATTAGTGCAGTATATTTTATAGTGAGGAAAATAGAGAGACCCAGGGAAGGTAAGGAATTTGCTTCTGTAGGGAGGAGTCAGTGGCTGAGCAGGTGCCCCTGCCACAATCAGAAGGTTCTATATAGATGGCTGGAAGCCGTAGCGCGTGTGTGTGTGTGTGCACGTGCATGCATGTGCACGCCTGTGCATGATACATACGTGCATATTGCAGGCAGATGCTAGTATTCTGGCCACTGTCAGATCTTAGTACAGCCGGGTCCTATTTGGCTTTCAGATATAAGGGACTATTGTCTGTTACCCTGAGTGAGATCCTGTAACTTCCGTACATCTGTGAAACTATTGACTGAGCCCAAGTTCCCTCACAAGAAGGCCTGTGAGATTTAGGCCATAAATAAATATTATAGTATCACTTCCTGATAGGCAGCAATAATCAATGATAATCAACAAAGGCAGAGAGGTTTCATTAAAATGCACGGATGATTAGAACTGGCCCTCCAATGGTAAAAAGAGCCTGAATCAATGTTGTCGTTGTTCCATACTTTTTGCTGTGGCTGACTTGGTGTCAGGTGGGGCTTTTGCTGTGGATCCCGCAGTGTTTCTATATTCATGTTATCTGGTGGCTGACGTTGTGTCAGGTGGGGCTTTTGCTCTGGATCCCGCAGTGTTTCTATATTCATGTTATCTGGTGGCTGACGTTGTGTCAGGTGGGGCTTTTGCTCTGGATCCCGCAGTGTTTCTATATTCATGTTATCTGGTGGCTGACGTTGTGTCAGGTGGGGCTTTTGCTCTGGATCCCGCAGTGTTTCTATATTCATGTTATCTGGTGGCGTTTATATGAGAGGCAATGTGACTGTGCGTATAGTTGGCATGAAGTGGTTTTGCGGGATGCGAGTGGGAGAGGTTGGTTTGGCCTCATTGTGCGGGCAGGATCTGGGCTGGGAAGAGGGTGCCAGGAGTGCGGTGTTGTGTCCTTTGTGGAGAGGGGGACGCAGCGGGTGGGATGGGGGAGGGAGGCGGACGGCGTGTGCGTGTGCGTGTGCGTGTGCGATGCTTGGAGGCAGGTCCGACAGGTGCACGGCCGCCCCAAGCAGCGCTGATGCTGAACGCGGCCTTCTCTGACTTGTGCGAGCAGGAAAGTCGTGGAAGGCGCTGACGCTGTCCCAGAAGAGGCCCTACGTGGACGAGGCGGAGCGGCTGCGCCTGCAGCACATGCAGGACTACCCCAACTACAAGTACCGCCCTCGCAGGAAGAAGCAGGCCAAGCGCCTCTGCAAGCGCGTGGACCCCGGCTTCCTTCTGAGCTCCCTCTCCCGAGACCAGAATGCCCTGCCCGAGAAGCGGGGCGCCGGCCGGGGGGTGCTGGGGGAGAAGGAGGACAGGGGTGAGTACTCCCCCAGCTCCGCCCTACCCGGCCTGCGTGGCTGCTACCACGAAGGGCCGGCAGGCAGCGGCGGCGGCGGCACCCCGGGCAGTGCGGACACCTACCCATACGGGCTGCCCACGCCCCCGGAAATGTCGCCCCTGGACGTGCTGGAGCCGGAGCAGACCTTCTTCTCCTCCCCCTGCCAGGAGGAGCATGCGCACTCCCGCCGCATCCCCCACCTGTCCGGGCCCCCTTACTCGCCGGAGTACGCCCCCAGCCCTCTCCACTGCGGCCACCCCCTGGGCTCCCTGGCCCTCAGCCAGTCCCCGGGCGTCTCTATGATGTCCACTGTACCCGGCTGTCCTCCGTCTCCTGCCTATTACTCCCCTGCCACCTACCACCCTCTCCACTCCAACCTCCATGCCCACCTGGGCCAGCTCTCCCCCCCTCCCGAGCACCCCGGCTTTGATGCCCTGGATCAGCTGAGCCAGGTGGAACTCCTGGGGGACATGGATCGCAATGAGTTCGACCAGTATTTGAACACTTCTGGCCACCCAGACTCTGCTGCAGGGGCCGTGGCCCTCAGTGGGCATGCCCCGGTCTCCCAGGTGACACCAACGGGCCCCACAGAGACCAGCCTCATCTCCGTGCTGGCTGATGCCACAGCCACGTACTACAACAGCTACAGCGTGTCATAGAGCGGAGGCAGCCAGTCCAGTCCTGCCTTGCCGTCCCCTCCTTCCTGCGCACTGAGCACGGCGGAGGGCAGGGCTACCAGATTTCCTGCGATGCCCCAGGGTGGGCAGGTCAGAACTGCCGGCCGGGCGGAATGGGGTTCTGCCGATCCGAATGCCCCTCCGCCCCCCTCCCGGAGTGGGGCTCTGCTGATCCCAGTGCCCCTCCGCCACCTCCCGGAGTGGGGCTCTGCTGATCCCAGTGCCCCTCCGCCACCTGCCGGAGTGGGGCTCTGCTGATCCCAGTGCCCCTCCGCCACCCTCCCGGTCCGCAGCCTGCGTTTTGAGTATATTCCTTCAAATGAGTTTTCATTGGCTACACCCTGGGAAGAGGGCGAGGTAGTTGCTGAAAGATGCTGTTTCCCGGTAGATTTTCACTGACCGCTCCCCATGTCCCCAACACGGAAACAAATGCGTGAAAAGCCCAGCGGCGTTCGCACCTTTCCTGCTCCGGACACGGCCGCTCGGGCAGGGTCCTCATTCGGGTCCTTCAGGTGAGGAGAGCCCTGGGCCGGTTTACAGGGACCCGGGATCCAGTCCCAGCTCCGCCTCAGGCGGCTGGTGAAGCCCCGGCGCTCCTTTACTCCCTTTGCAGCCCGTCCCCCTATCTGTAAAGTGAGGGACAGACCTGACACCTGAGGTCTCTTCTGCTCCAGGTTTTCTGATTTAGGATTCTCTCAAAGCTAACTAAAAGGAAACCAAGGTTTGACTCATTAGTAAGCTCATTAATGAGCAACCTGGTGATAAATCCGTGTGCACAGCCCAAGGATGTGAGGCTTTCTGCCCTTGCACTGCCTTCCAAAATGATCCCAGTCTTCCAAAAGGACTCTTTTCCAATTTGAGAAAAAACACTCATCTTGATTTGGGAAATTAACCATTAGGGTTGACTGCATCACCAAAAATGAGATTGAATTCAAGCTGTTTTTTTAAAAATACATTTTTTAGGTAAGTTATTTTTTATTACACACACGTTTCAAGAGAATATACACAGCCTGAATATATACAGTCAGTGTGTGTGTGACACACAACACACACACCTTCATGCACACCCTAAATCAGATACTCTTGTTGACGTTGGCAACCTCTTGTCAACTCTCTGGTCCTAATGACCCCAAGAGCAGGGAACCTAAAAAGAATTTCAACAAAGCAGCATCACTTTCCTCTACTCTGGATGTGTTGATTTCTTGAGCAAGATTTCAGCACACCCTCTCTCCTGCAGAGGCCGAAGGAGCTTCCTTCCCGCGGTCTCCATCTCCCTTTCTCCCTTTCCTGGGGTTTCTTTTTCTCTTCTTCCTTTCTCTGCCTCCACTTCTGAATCAGCCACTAATTCAAAGATCCCCTGACTTCACCATACCAAGCGGGATTCCTCTGACTGAGATGGGAATTTGTCCTCATCAGCCAGCTGGTTCTTCAGGTAACATCTTCACCAGCACCTCAAAACAGCTTCCCCTTCCTTATATTTGCTTCCCAAAGAACAGAAACACACTGTGATTCAGAGAATGTTTCTGAGCCCTGACTCCACCCCAAACACACTTCCGTCCTTCTCCCAAATCTCCTTTGAAGGAACATACTGGGCAGTGAGCTGAAAGACGGTTGTTTGTCTTTTCCTTCCAGCGTATTATTGCCTGTATGAACTATGTAAGTGTTTTATATATTCTCCCATTATTTTCACCTTATATTTTGTATTGTTGAAAGACCCTTTTTTTTTCCTTCCAAGGAGTATTCTTGTAAAATCACTTATAAGATATAATTAATCTTTATGCTGTTACTGTATATGCCATTTGGTAATAAATAGTAAGTCACTGACAATATGATTGACTGGTGCATCCAGAATGTGTATTAATAATCTTGTAAAACATTACCACAGACATTAAGCTAAACTGTTCCATTTTTTGTTAAGAACTACATATGCTTTGGGATGGTTGTAGATATTGATTTGTCTAAAATATTTAATTTAAATAAATGTTTTGTACCGTGACCATTTTATCATTTGAGACATAGTTTTGCAAAAAGAAAAAGTTTTCAAGGGAAGGGAGGGATAGATATTATGCCCAGTGCTACTTATACTATTGGTCAAAATGTTTTCTACATCAACTTTTTTATTTTAAAAAATTGTTATCTTGTAGCGATGATTTATTTTATTTTATGAGTTATGGTAAAGAGAGAAAGCCTAATTTTGCACATTGGAAACAGCGTTGTATTAATATTGAAAGAAAAGACCAATTCTTAGCCTACCTGCAGAATAATTTTCTCCTTGGGATGATTTCATGTTTGTAAAATAGAACAAGGTGATTATCAGGCTGTCTCAAGACAGGAAGTAAGTTCTGCCCAATTATTTGCTTTCTTAAGGTACCACATTTTTTTCTTCTTTTTGAAATAATCTTGAAAAATAACTAGGTTGCCTTCTTTCCTATGCATTCATGGATGTGGTGTAACAAGACATTGTGGGCTCTCAAAACTTGACGGAATGTTGTGGAGAAGGCAGGGGAGCACACAGGTCAGTAATTAAAGGATGTAATGTCTTGTGAGGTTTAGGATTAAAATCCCAGCCAAAAAGTGTCTGGAAAAAACTGACGATTACTCAGTCCCTTTGCAGGTCACCATGTGGGGAAGCAGTTGTAACTTGTTCAAGTCAAGGGTAGCCTGTGTTCTCCCAGGCCCTCTGGGCCAAGGAGTGGGTCTTGGGAGGGCCCAGATGGGCATATGTTCATCCTTCAATTTGGATCATAATCTATAGTCATTACTTTAATAGCACTTTATAGGTGTGGGGAGTTTTACAGCAATTTTTATGGGCTGTTTCTCATCCACAGCCCCAGGTAGGGCCCCATCATCCATCCACCCCATTGTGCAGCCAGGGACACTGAGGCCCAGGGTGGGAGGTGGTGCAGTGTGACTCAGCCTGCTCAGCTGGTGGAGGCTGGGGTTTCAGCACTTTGTGAGATACATTTGTTGGCAGCATCGGCTGAATAGTCTCACAGCTAGAGGCTTGGTGCCTTTTTAGTGCTTCACCATGGCATGGAATTACATGTGGTCCAGTTCGTACCTATTACAGCCCAGGGAAAGAAAGAGCCAGCAAGGAGGAAATTATGGGGCCAGAGTAAGACGAACCGGCTTCATTGCCGCCTAGGCCCACCACTGTGTGCTGTGGCCAGCTGACAGTGGCAGTCTGCAGGGTCATCAGCTGGCTGGAGGACTTGTCCAGCAGTGTCTGCCCAGCACACCGGCCCTCGACACTGCCAAATGGGCGTATTTCATTCCAGGACATAGGGTGGGGGTGGGGGCGTTGTCCCTGCCTCTGGGAGGGCAGGAAACAGGCAGGCGACAGGGCTGCTCTTTCACTTTTGTCGGCTGTGACTGAAACAGTCATGCCCAGAAGCCAGCGGTATTTTAGAGTTTTAGCTGCATATTCTGGCAGTCACCCAACTGCCCCCCGTGACAAGAACACTTTTTGCTTTGGCTGATGAGAATTGATGGGTATGCACAGTTATAAGTTATTTTTCTAAAACTTAGATGTTACCATTTCATTCTTTTACTTAAGATCCTTCAGTGCCTGCTCGTCGCCCGCAGTGCACGGGGTGAGCACAGAGGTGGGTTCACGTGAAGCCAACAAGATCCATGCCTCTGGACCCCTCAGTTACACAGGGTCCTGGGAGGGGCCCTGGTAGTGTATTCACATGGCAGCCTCCCCACAACTGGACAAGCTTCAGGACCCACAACACCATGTGAGTGCCCCTATGGCCGACCTTCTTCTTTCCAGAAGCCTCCCATAGCAACCCTCCCACGCCCCAACCGGGGGACCCTCATTCCCATCACTTGTCTAATGACATCCCATTGACTATCCAAATCCAGCTCAGATGTCCCCAACTCTGCCTGACAGAGGGCCCGGTCATCTCTTCCCCGAGCTCCCACAGGACATGAGCAGATTTTAGTTATAGCCCTTATCACCTGGCAGTGGAATCTTCCCCCCACATGCATCTTCCCCAGCAGGGCAGACATATAGTAGCTGCTCAACTAATAAATGAATGAGTAAATGAATAAAGTGAACTTCCGAGATGTCCTGGAGGTATTCTAGTTAACCTTGTTGATAAAGACCTGAAACCATCTGAGTCCCTAATTTTCCCACCATCTCTCTGGAAACCAAGACCCTGGAGCCGTTGTGTGTGTGGTTCTCCGGGCTCTGAGGCTGGATGTGATCCAGCCGTGGCTATCCATCTTCCCCTGCTAGAGTGTAGCCTGGAGTAAACAGGTCAGGCGATGGACGCAAGGGCATGGGAGGAGAATCTCCTCTCTTATCACATCTTAGAGCAGCACAATGAGCTAAGGACAGATGATTTGTAACATTTGTAACTGCCTACGTTTCCTTTTGAAAAGGCTGTGCTCTTGATTTCTTCCCAGTGGAAGGGATTTGGAAGGAAGGATGGAGGGAAGGAAGGAAGAAAGGAAGGAAGGAAGGAAGGAAGGAGTAAGGAAGGAGAGAGAAAAGAAAAGAGACATCTCTATTTATCTACTATCTATCCATCCACCCATTCATCCATCCGTCCGTCCATCCATCCATCCATCCACCCACTCATCTATCTATCTATCTATCTATCTATCATCTATTATATATTGATATTTTAATTCTCAAAAGAGGCAGTGTTTGTAGAAAGTTTAGAAAAAAATAATATGATAGAGAAAAAGTAAGTCATCTGTTTTCCACAGCTTAGAGATATTACTGGTAATTTTTTTATATCCATCCATCCATTCTTTTCTTTTTCTCTAGTTCTACATCTACATATGTCTTTTATATTAGACATTTTTATTCATTAATATTAAATAAACATTTTCCTATGTCATAAACTTTTTTTTTTTGAGGAAGATTGGCCCTGAGCTAACATCTGTTGCCAATCTTCCTCTTTTTCTTCTTTCTCCCCAAAGCCCCAGTACATAGTTGTAGCTCTTCTATGTGGGACGTCGCCTCAGCATGGCTTGATGAATGGTGAGGAAGTCTGCCCCCAGGATCCGACCCGGTGAAGCCCGGGCCGCCAAAGTGGAACGTGTGAACT